AACACATTTTCAACTGGTAGAAAAAGCCTTCCTACTGGGAATGCATACAAAAATATTAATGAGCTGTAAAGGTACACTGTAATTCAGAAGTTATTAATTTCATCAGTCAAAAAAGCCCACAGCTATCAGCCATATCATACTACCTAAAACAGGTAGCATTCTATCAATAAACCAAAATCAGCTATTTTCAACTGTTTGTATATTTTTCTTCCCATGTTTCTCACTGATATCAGCTCCTTAACAAGGTTTCCCTCCCTTAATTTTATGAGAAAAACTAACAAGAAGATGTCAAACAGAAAGGCAAAAAGACTTTGAACTAACTTTGAATGATAATTCACTGATGCAGTTCAAAGATGCTACATAAAACAGGTTTCACCACCGAAGGCTTATTCCTTTTCCAGTGCAAAACCTGATTCACTTGTTTTTTAAAGAAAAAAAATTTTGTTAGTGTCCCGTTCAACATGCTTTCTCTGCAGTATATAAAAATCTTATTCACTGGACAAACTTTTTTTTGCAAAGAGTTTACAAAATTCACATAATCTCAACACTGCTGACACATTCATCTGAACTCCTTATTACCAAAATTATCCTCATGTCCCTCATTACCCAAGAATAATCAAGCTTACATGCTACTGAAAATCAAGTATTTAGATGGTAATAATGTCTGTATACATTTGTTCTAATTCATGGAAGTATTTTATTACAAAGAAAAATATAATCAGATGAAGGTACAAAAGTTAAGAAAAATTTTTCAATATTAATTAATGCTTGAAGGTAGAATTATGCTTCTTTCAATTGGACCCATTAAAGGGGCTTTAATATAGATTTGCACAGCAAGCTGAAGATTTTCAAGAGCAGATAATGAGGCAAGCCAGTACTACTTTAACCCCTCTAGAGTATAATCAGTTGATAAGGTTTTGAAACGTTACAAGGTCTAGGACAAAAAGATTAGCTTTAGTTCCTCCAGATCAAAATTGAAAGCTAATTAATTAACAATGTTATAAGAAAAGGTTTACTGCTATTTTTACACGTCTTTAATGCCATCTTCTAAAGAAAACAGGTTAAGATATTTTAATTTATCTATTGTGTGCATGGCAGAAGACTGTTCCCTGCTCAACATTATCTGCTAAACTAATTGCTTGAATTTAAAAATTTCACATATTCCCCAAAAAAACCTCACCTCACTTTTTATGGAAAAAACCAGCATCAGTGATCTACTTAAGATACATACAATTATTATAAATTAAACATGTTAAAAATGTTTCCAAATAAAAAAGACAATGAAAATATTTCTGCAGCAAAGTATATATCAGCCTTCAGAAGAAGTAAAATTCTAAGAAAGCATCCTAGTCACTTAAATATAGCAGTTAGAAATTCTTTTCATTGAAACAGAGAAGTGATGCATATATGTCAGGGATATATAACTGCTATGAAGAGAGTTTTGAAACACTGCATAGAACAAAAATAACAATAAAAAAATCAGTATAGCAATCAAGACACTAACCTCAAAGGAATAAGTTTTTTACCACACAGCATTTACAATAAATATATCTTTATGCCAGATGAGGCCCAGTTGTGACTATCAGGACCCAAAGTTACCAATACACCAATTAAAAAAAAAAAAAAAAAAAAAAAAAGAAGGCAAGAAGGGAAAAGTACAATGGAAAACTCAAATACAATACATTCTGTGCTGCATTTATGTGCAATAATAGACAAGAATAATCTTAAGTGCTTTCACAAATTTATTTGAATCTTTGAATGGTACATCTTGAAATGCTCCACACTAAATCATATTTTAAATGTTTAACACAATATGAAGCTTTGGAATAAACTCATGAAAATAAAAAGGTCATATTCATGTATATAAAACCATAGATTACAACACCGTAATTTAGGAGCAGTGAAAACATTAAGTTGTACTAAGCAAAGAGAAGTTCAATGCATATACTGTAGTCCAAAGATATGGACAGCAGAAGCTTTGAAAAAAAATGATTTAGACTTTTATCCCGAAGTCCCATTTTCATGAGTATCTGAGCACTTTTCTTCATTGTTGGGTTATACAAATGTGATTAAAGACCATATTACTTCTGAATCATAGTTTCCGAATTTATTATTTTACTTGATTTTCAGTAATATCCATTAAAACACAAACCTCTCTAATTTTTGAAATATCTCTTTATGAATTAAGCTTATTTAGCTTTCAGTATGAGCTAACTATATGGATCTATCTCTTCTAGGCTGTGGAGAATATGCTCTCATATTTACAGAAATTTTTATGTCCTTTTAGGCATGTCAGGATAAAGTCTAAGCAGGACTAATACAAGACAAGAAATACAATCACATGTTCTCCTTATACGGTTTTGTTGTTATTTCTAGAAGCAACAGAAGCTTACATCTATGTCAAATAATGAGATTGCCCATTGATTTTCCTTTTTTTCCTTACTCACCATTGATTTATACAATCAGCTTTTTGGTGGCCACTCAGAAATTCCTAGACAATAAACCCTACTACAAACTATCTTGTTGCAACTGGTATCTCTGTGTGAAGCATGAAGGCAAAGAGAAAAACAACAGAAGACATGACTGGCTAATCTTAACTTCCTAGATGTAAAAAATTAGTAGACTGAAATACACAGTCTTCAAGTCTTCCTGTTTGTACTTTACAGAAAAGAACATTCATTACCATGACTGTCAAAATGCACATTTTCACAAACAACCTATTTGCATGTTAATAACATAAATAGTATATTTTCTTTCTTAGATGAGTGAAGAAGGAGCACATTCAGTAAAACAAAATAAATAAGAACACTACATCACTTTTTAAGCCAGCTCCATTCTTTGATACCAAATCACTAAAACCTCACACTCAGGAAGCAATCCCTCTCTTGATTCAATCCAGTATTATACCAGTGAATACCAGTCAACGGATAAGGCAAGAAGGTCAGCATGACATCACCTCTGTACACTGCTTTCATACACAGCACTGGCACCATCTGGTGCCCTTCACAACCTGCCCCCCAAGGCAATGATACTCTAAGGGAAGCTAATTGTAAGGGCTGCATTAGAGTTGTGATCATCAAAACAACTTCTGTTCTCCTCATCTGCTATAATCACTGAATCACAGAATATCCTGATTTGCAAGCAACCCGCAAGAACCATGAAGTCCCACTCCTGGCCCTGTACATGAAAACCTCCAGAATCACACCATGTGCCTGAGAGCATTGTCCAAGTGCTTGTTGAACTCCGGCAAGCTTAGTGCAATGGCCACTTCCCAGTGGAGCCTGTTCCAGTGCCCAACCACCCTCAGGGTGAAGAAACTTTTCCTAATATCCAACCCAAACTTACCCTGAGATCTCCAAATCAACCCCTCGGGACCTGTCCCTGGTCACCAGAGGGAAGAGATCAGTGCTGCCCCACCTCTTCCCCTTATAAAGAAGTCTTAAACCACAGCGAGATCTCCCCTCAGTCTCCTCCTCAGGAAGCTGAACAAGCCAAGCAACCTCCGTCACTCCTGTCTTCCCCTCAAGGGGGCTTCCCCTCAAGGCCCTTCACCACCATCATTACTGTGGTACCCAAAAACTGCCCCCAGCACTGGAGGTGAGGCTGCCCCAGCTCAGAGCAGAGCAGGACAATCCCCTCCATTGCCTGGCTGGCGATGCTGTGCCTGGTGCACCCCAATACAGGGCTGGCCCTCCTGGCTGCCAGGGCACTGCTGACTCATGTTCAACTTTCCGTGAACAAGGATCGCTGTATTTTCTGTGGGGCTACTCTCCAGCCTCTCATGCCCAAGTTTGTATGGATATCCAGAGTTTTACCATCCTGTTGACGAGAACTCTTCTTTCCTGGCTGCCAGATTTCCATGGTTTTAGTTGCATTTACCAGTCTCTCTCCATTTCCACACGGATGATGTATTCATTATACCATCAATTTCAGATTTCTGATCATTTAGAGCTTCAGCTTCTGAAACTGATCTGAAAGCACACAGAGCAACCTCAGGGAGAATGCACATCATCCAGGTTCAGACACTGCTACAGCAGGCAGCCTTCTTAAAAGCACAGTACTGCATACGTATTCCTATAAAGGCCTTCACAGGTCTTCTTTGCCTTTCAGGTAAGGATAGGACAAGAAATCATACATTGCTGGTTTCTAAACATTATGTGTGTGTACGCACCAAACACATTACACATCACACCTACAGCCATGAGACACTACACTGAAACTTCAGCCACTGCTGTAAAACAAATGAAAGTTTATTCAATAATAAACAGTATTTTAATTTAATTTACTGTTTTATTTTATAGATAATTACATCTTTCATAAATCTACATATTATATGCAATGTAATACATTATATTACATCTAATATATTAAATATTGGCTATAATTCTATAGTATATAAAGTATATAACATAGATTATACATGGGATACAGATAATCTACTATATATACATTATATAGTCTCTATAATAAACAATTATATAACAAAATATAACATACCTGTTATACTTCATATAATATATAACATATGTATGTTTTCTGTATATTTGTTTAAATATTAATTAATTAAAAAAATAAATAAAAGAAGAAACACCACCAGTTCAGTGGTGTTGCTTGTCAGGCAGAAGGTTAATTATTTTGTACTTATCAGGATGGCAAATCTTACTAAGATGTGCATTGCATGGGCACATTACAAACCAGAACACTTTTCTAGACTTAGATCCAAGTTTAGGTTAGACCATAGGGTAAGATGAGGCAATGAACTGACAAGATTTTTCAGAAAAAGTTTAATCTAAAATGATATGAACTTTTCAGGTAGCAGATCAACTGTTTGAGCAACACAGAAGAGTGTAAATAACACTTAATCAGAAATTTGTAATCTCTGAATCACTTACAATTTTTCTCTTAGGACACAATAGTAAACTATTTTCTCATTTTGACAAACATAAATATGTTGTCAATGACAAGTTTTCTTAACCGCTCTATTTAAAGATAATACAAACCTGTTCTAAAGCTTCTATTTTGCTGTCTTTGGCTTGCAAAACCTTTAAAATGCTTCTGTCCTTGACTTCAGCTTTCTGTTTTTCTCTGGAAACAAACAAAAAAATAGACACTTTATTAGTCATAATTTGCAGTTAATCATTTGAATTTTTCATGTCCTGATAATGAATGTCATTTTAAAGCACAGAAAATTAAATTATCTGAAGCTGACAGGCCCGACAGAATCAATCAGGGAGCATATGGCAAGTGACAGCAAATTACATCTGTAAACATCTAACACAGCTTTGTTCAAAAAGAAACAGAAATAAGAGGTCTTAATATTTTTAAAGCAGCTGAAATTATCTGTCTCTTGTTCTTTCCCAAATGCAGAAAGTGTATTTGAACATAGAGTGAGCAAAATGCTTTTGCCCCTTCTTTGCAATGTAGAATGAGCAAGCTACTTCAGTTTGTGAAGTCCTTATCTCAGTTACATGGCATTTTTATGTCTGAAACAACACTTTTGAACATAATTATGGATAATTATTAAAAATTATTATGTAATTTTGGATAATTATTTTACTATATTCCAGGGGGACAGAATGTGTAACTTATACCAGCAGAAAAAAAAAGACTCAGAAGCTTGAGTAAGAGGGGTGAGCAGAGCCACACTACATGGTTAATAAGTGCACATCTATTTATCACCTCTGCAACACTTTGCTTTGTTTAACAAAGTATCTCATCTCATTGCTATCTTATTTCTTAACTGAGTTTGAATATTGATACCCTTGCTGGCTTCCATTTTAGGCAGAAAGAAAACAAATGTCACAGTAAGGATATTCATATTCCTTAGCACAAGAATTCTTACATGTGTTGACTAAAGGGCTGAGAAATATATATTCCCTAAGAATGTCCAAAAATTTCAGGCAATCCCAGCACCACAGGCGACAGAAGCATAAATTCCTTCAGATTATCTCTGTTCTCACAATACAGTCAAAACTTTTATCAGGGCTGGTATCAGCCACCTATGGAAGTTAGAAAATCCTACTTGAGCAACTCTTCCTCTACCACATAAGGAATATTTCAGAGCTGGAAGGGAATGAAACACTAGTACACATGAGTCTGCAAATCTATCTAAAGTGGATGAAAATATGCAGCTGTACACAAAGGGTTTAATCTGCCAAAGCATTCTGTAACAGTGGCCAATAAGGATAGTACACACATGAAGGATTATTTTTCTCCACTATTAGGTATTACTGTGTAGTCTAATGCCACGAGAGATTTTAAAAACTAAACTACACTGACATAATAGAGTACCCAATAACGTGGTCGTTTTTAATAGAGTTTTATGACTGCTAAAATATCTAATCCAATCTTGAGTAAACAAAGAACTAAAGAAAAATTATATGGAATTTGAAGTGAGGGTTTTGGAAACTCAGGTCTCAAGGCATCGTAACTCTTAATAGGTCTCTCCTACTTCAAAAATACAGCAAGCATATGCCATAGGACTTGAAGAAAACTAAGAAAAACCTGTCTGAAAAGGTATTCATTTAAGCGACATTTAGCTTATGAAAAATAAAAATATATGGGAAGCAGTCTTAGTCAGTTGTATTGCATCAAAAAAAAATCTACTTCATAAAGAAAATAACTCAGTGCTGTGAAATCAGATGATGAATATTCAACAAGCATTCCAAAAGACATTTCATATCTGAAATGTATTCAACATTTTAAGTGAGAGACAGAAACTTAACAAAAAAATGAACATCAGATACTGACCTTAAAGCACCTCATCACCTGCAAGCAAGCCATTGCATGATACGTTGCTAGGAAGTCATAAGAAGTACGGACAGTTTTTCATAGTTTATTGTTGCAGTTTTGGAGACAGACAAGGGACATGAAATTCCATATTCATGCAGCAACTGCCACTGTTTACTGAAGGGCAGCTCCTTTTATAGGGGCTTCAAATTTCCCGCTCACACAGAGTCCACCAACAAAGGTTTCAACTCCGCGCAGCTCACTGGCCAATGATGTGGGTGCATCCTGGGTTCAAAGGAATTGGTTGGGGTCCCTTGTTTGAGCCTGAATTCAGCTAGTCACTTTCATACTTGAGGACTTGTTTACTTCAACAAGCTAACAAGCCAGCTGCTCTAGTTGTGTCTGCCAAGGCTGAATTGTTTGTGCAGCTACAGACCACCTATAGCTGTCACAGTTTATCTTTGAAAAGCTACAAGAATGTAACTCAAGTAGACTGTGATTACAGAAATTCATGCAAATATGAAATGATGTAATGCATTCCAAAAGTTAGGCTGTGATGGCCTTTAAAAAAAAAAAAAAAAAAAAGGGAGCACCAGGGCCAAAACAACAAAAAAGTTTCAAAGCATGACAGATTATGAAACCAATTTACCCTGCCTGTAATACATATCCAGCTTACAGAAGTCACACTCTCAGCCACGTTTTAAAAAATGGTAAAAGACTTTCTGGTAAGTATATAAATAGGTACAACTTAAATGAAACAAAAACTGTTCCAATATAAAAATAATAATGCTTCTTCATACTAAATTACTTTGCTGTGGGATCCTAAATGGCTATTAACAATTACCCTTTCTCAAAGGCAACAGTTGCAGTAATCAAACCCCAAATATTTGGGGAGAAAGGTTATCACTCTCCCATAAGCATGCCACACCATAATCTACCTGAGGAAGTGACAGACCTATATTGATCTAAACTGTAAGAAATTTAATATTCAAAGTTTCCTCATGTTTTAATTACATCTAGACAACTTAAGATTAGACACACACTAGCTGATCCAAAATCCTAAGAGCTTTAGAAGGCAAAAAGGAAAGTAAGTCTTTACTCAAAGTACTTGGAAGAGTCAGTGCAGACACAGAAAGAACATACCACTAACCACACACAAGTGTGGTTCACTTCAGTACATGAAGTACTGAATAGCATTGTATCCAGCTCTCAGAAGTATCCTGACTCTAAGTCTACTTAGCCATCATCATCCCAACTCTCTAAGTCTAATAAGCCATCATCATCCCAACTCTAACTACCATCTCCTCTCTCGAAGTCAGACTTTCACAAAGCGAGACTCAATCAAGACACAAAAACAGTATAATCAGAGAGCCTCCTAACTGAACTACGCAATCATCACTTGAAAATTATCATTAAACTTGTTCTCTAATGCATTAAATTATCTGAAAATCTGGTAAATTAGATAGTTTCCCTAAGGAACTTTACAGTTGTGAGTGGTTAATTTTTTAAAATTTATTTTAAGGAGAAAACAGAGGAAGTGAATAAGTGAACCAAGAGCCAGGTAAAAGAACAAACAGCTGTGAAAAGCAGTATGCACAGCTAATTCTGATTTATTATTGGTAGTTAAGAATCTATTGAGCCCTCTGACTTTACGAGATGGTTTCAAAACATGGGTTCACGGAATAAAGTCTGGGACTGGAGAGCAAAAGAAAGAAACAGATCACTGTTAAAGCAAAAAGTATGCCTGTAACAGAGCTACATCCTAGCCAACAGCTCACAGCACATTTCTAGTTAAATGCAGCATTTTCCTCCTATCCAATGCTTGGTCAAACAAAGATGTCAAAGAACACAGTTTTTAAACACAGATCTATCATCATCATGAGTGGGAAAAGTTTAAATAAATTTAATATATTTTGCCCTTACGATGTTTTCTTTCAAGCTCTCTAGATACCACATGCTTGCTAAGGTCCCCAAAAATAGTTTAACATGTAACCACTCATAGATAAAGAAAAAAAATGTTTAAATTATTAGAAGTTAAGTACACAATGGAAGTTGTCAGAAGCCTAAAGTATAAACTGCAACCTCAAATGCAACTTTATCAGCAGTTTCTCCTGATGGCATAGGACATTTTCCCATGCTTCTTACATGATATCTCTGCACAGACACTCAAGGTAGTATTTCAGACTGGAACTTGTATATCATATTTGGATCTGCTGTCACACCATAAAATGGGACATGATAGGAATTGCATTCATCACCTCTTCTTTTTTAAAGAAGGGTAAACAAATATTCAGAAGGGTAACAAATATTCAGAAAAAAAGTCTTTGAACAACTTCATTCATTGGGCTATTTTGTATTTAAAATGTATTTTTAAAAGTCCATTGGAACATGGGGGGGGGGGAAATTCAGGCACTGTCAAGAAGCTGATGATGATCAATGACTGAGACAAACTCCTGTTTAGCTAATTAGAATCACTGATGAGCAATAATGATGTGAGCTAAGAATATTTGCAGACTTCTTTAGGATGAAAAATGGAGTGAAGAGAGGCTGTCAATTTGTACAAGTTCTAAGCTCCAATCAGTTTTCCCATGAGTACTACCTATTTTAAATGTTTAACAGAGATGCATTTAGCTACAAAGATTATCAAGATTCAGCTTCCCACAAAAATAAAGAAACTGAGAAAATATTCTTAAACTTGACACATTTCTCTGTTATGATTTTCTTCCTGTATTACACTCTACTCAATTATAGAACACGACAACCTTCTCGATGTTTGGCACCATTTTAATGGCTTGCCAAAAATGAAACATTGGACATTGAGGATATATTTATCCATGAATGAGATATGAAAACAGCAAAAAACCTTAATATTTAAAAAACCATAAGTCTGTTCAAGTTTCTAAACAACATCTTTTATAAAATCTTCAGCAAAAGCAGTACAAGCAAAGAGGTATCTTGTCCTGTACCACAGGTCTTAATCAAACAAGCACTTAACCATTTGTCAAGAAAAAGTAACTTGGAGTTGTATATAATTATGTCACATTTACATCAATTAAATGAAAGTAAATTTAGTTGATTGAATTTGCTGTTTACATGTTTCAAGGAATACATCCTATCAGTTTTACAAATCACTGAATTAAAAAAACCAAAACAAATCAATAAAACAAAACCAACCAACAAACCCCACAAACAATAAATCCAACAACAACAAAAAAAAAAAAAAACCACGAAAACAAACAAACAAAACCCCCCAAAAAACCCCAAAACATCACAGAATCAAAATCACATCTACAAATTTGGCATTTTAACAGAAAGTTAAGATTACACTGCAAACTTTGGACAGTGTGGTAAAACGG